CAGGGGGCGCCTGGGTGGCTTAGTCGGTTAAGCGTCCGACTTTCGCTTAGGTGATGATCTCGCGATTCGTGGGTTCGAGCCCCGCGTCGGGCTGTGTGCTGACTACCAGCTCAGAGCCTGGAGCCTATTTCAGATTCTGTGTCTCACTCTCTCTCTCTGACCCTCCCCTTCTCACGCTGTCTCTCTCTCTCTCCTAGAAATAAATAAAAATATTAAAAAAAAATAAAATAACTAAACAGAATTATAATGAATAAGTCAACAAAAGAGATAAAATTAAGTCATAAACAGTATTTGTATAATTTGGTTATTCTAAAAATAAAGGCAGGAGAAGAGGAAAAGGGGAACAAAAAATGGATGGAAAAAAATATTAAGATGATAGATTTAACTGACACAAATTAATAATTACTTATCTACAGTAAATGTAAATGGGCTTATTACCTAGATTCAAAGGCAAAGATTATAAGATTGCATTATTTACAAAAGTAAGACCCGGGGCACCTGGGTAGCTTGGTGGTTAAGCGTCCAACTTTGGCTTGGTTTGAGAGTTTACGCCCCATGTCGAGCTCTGTGCTGACAGCTCAGAGCCTGGACCCAACTTCGGATTCTATGTGTGTGTGTGTGTCCCCCTCTGCCACTCACCCGCTTACACTCTGTCTCTCTCTTTCTCTCTCAAAAATAAAAAAACATCAAAGTTTTTTTAATTAAAAAAAAGTAAGACCTAATTGTATGCTCCTTACAAGAAATAATGAGAGAACAGAAAAAGCTATGTTATACTGACATTAGTCAAAAGAAAATTAATACCAGTTGAAGTAGGTTTCTGAGCAAACACTATTAGCAGCAATAAAAAAGTCCATTTCACAATAATGAAAGTTTTGAGGACATAATGATTTTAAGCAGTTTTTTTTTAATGTTTATTTTTTGAGAGAGAGAGAGAGACAGAGTGTGAGCATGGGAGGGGCAGAGAGAGAAGACGACACAGAATCTGAAGCAGGTTCCAGGCTTCTGAGCTCTCAGCACAGAGTTCAACACAGGGCTTGAACTCACAGACCAGAAGATCATAATCTGGGCTGAAGTCTGATGCTTAACCAACTGAGCCACCTGGGCGTCCTGAGGACATAATGATTTTAAACAGTATTGCAACTAATGGTAAATTCAAAATATATGAAGCAAAAACTGATAGAACTACAATAAGAAATGGAAAATATTGAAATCTTAGGGATTTTAATAGCCCTTTCTCAATAATTGTAGAAGACAGAAAATCATGAAGAATATAGAAGTCTTAAATAACATTATCAACCAACTTGATCTAATTGATATCTGTAGAACATTCTACTCAACCATAACAAAATCACATTGTTTTCAGGTATAGATGAAACATTTACCAAGATAGAACATATTGGCAACAAAACAATAGTATTGGCAACAAAACAAATATCCATACGTCAAAAAAATAATGTCATAGCAAGAATGTTCTCTGTAATTAAAACAGAATCAAAACAGAAAGATCTCTGGAAAATCACCAAACATTTAAAACAAAATAATATACTTATAAATAACCTATCATCAAAAAAGAAACCAAAAGAGAAGGTGGACATTTTGAACTGAATGAAAATAAAAATAAAATAGCTAAATATATGAGATGCTAGTAAAGTAGTGCTTAGGGAGAAATTCTTACCAGCACATTCCTATATTTAAAAAGGAGAAACATGTCATATCAGAGACCTCAGATTCTATTTTCGGAAACTAGAAAAAGAAGACAGATTAAACCAAATGAAGTAAAAAATGAAATATTAAAGATGAGAGTGAAAATTAATGAAATAGATATAAATCAATGAAACCAAAACTGGTTAGTTGGGAAAATTAGTAAAATTGCCAAAATCCTAATGAGGCAGAGTAGAAAAAAGAGAGAAAAAACAAAAACCATCTATATGAAAGAGGTGGCATCACTACAGATACTAAATACAGTAAAAGGATGATTATACTTTATGGCAAAAAACTAAAAAGTTTAATTGGAGGGGTGCCTGTGTGCCTCAGTCAGTTAAGCATTCAACTCTTGATTTCAGTTCAGGCCATGATCTCATGGTTCACGAGACTGAGACCTACATTGGTCTCTGTGCTGACAGTACAGACCCTGCTTAGGATTCTCTCTCTACCTCTCTCTGCCCCTCCATCATTTGTGTGCTCTCGTTCCCCCTCTCTCAAAATAAATAACTAAACATTTTTTAAAAAATTAATTGGGTAACATTTTTAAAAGACAGAAACAAGATTTTAAGAAGAAATAAATAACCTGAATAGTTTATATCTATTAAAGAAAAAGAAAATGAAGATAAAAATTTTCCCAAAAGGAAATTCCAAGCTCAGATGATGACTTAACTGATAAAAATATTAGTTCTACACAAACTCCTCCAGAATATTGAAAAGGAGGGACTCCTTCCCTATTCATCCTATGAAGTCAGTATTAGTCTGAACCAAAACCAGATTTCACAAAACAAGGAAACTACAAATCAATACCTTCTATGAACATAAATGCAAGAAATTTAAAGAAAAATTTTGCACATGAATCCAGCAATATATCAAATGGAAAAACAAATCATGACTTATTGGAGTTCATCCTAAGAATACATTATTTAGAGATTTGACTAGCACCAAACAATACACCAAAATAATGAATGGAGATGCTTCTGGAACAGAGAAAATAGAGGAAAGGGGCAGAGGGTAGAATACTGATTTTTATAACAGCCTTGTTGAGCTATCTGAGTATGTATAACTTTGATAAAAATGGATGACAACAAAAGGATTTATATTAAAGATAGACTTTTAATTTTAGTACATTAACTTACTAAGGCATGAATTTTAAATTGTTTATAAATTGATTCTTAAAGCAAAAATTATTTTACCATTTGAACTTGTGGCAGTCATCACCTATCATATGATGGTGGCTAAAATACAGGTGTCTATACATACCTGCACACTTACATATGGATTTGAGTGGATGATGTTCCCCTAGGGACGTAGGATGGCCCTGTGCAGGAGAACTGAGACGTAACATCACATTGAAGTTACACAGTGTCATCATAATGTGAGAAAAGGTCTTCCCAGTCAGTTAAAAAAAAAATGAATGCAACCTGATTGAGGTTATTATCTTACATAAAGAAAGAACACATCAGACAGAAGCAGCCTTGTTCAGCAAAGTAAACAAAGTAAAATTAGAATCTTCCTGGTAAATGTCAGCAATGTTCATTCAAGGCCTTCCCAAGGAAGAAGGGGCCTTGCTTACATAACTAAGCCTGATGGCCGCAGTGGCTCTTCTGTCTCCAATGAAGAAATTAATTCACCCATCTCTCAGCACCTGCTGCCATTAAATGCTTAAATTATTTCACCAATTCTCCTTTATTCTGATTCCAGACTCATCACAATGCTATCACATATAATAATCAGAGGATACAAATATGTAGCAACCTTGATAGTTGCATTTCTCATTGGAAATTATTATAATATACATGTTTATTTTCATCTAGGTTAAAGTGGGTTCCTCCCTAAGATCTTAGTCAATATTTAATATGCTATAAAATATTGATTTTTAGTTTATAATTCTAAATTAGCTAAAATTAAATAGAGGATTATGTTTTTAAAACTGTGGGAGAATATGTATCTGAGGTAAATCTGAAAAGCAACATATATTCTAATTTTAAAATATCAAATTACATGTGGGAATAAAAATTTTCTTTCTCTGAGTTGTATCGAGCCTGAAAAGTTGGAAATGCTTGAGAGCTTTTGAACTTAATTGGTGAAGTGTTAAATCAGTTCAGATAAAGCAATTTAGCCCAATTGTAATAATTTATGTGATGTTTTAAAAAAATACACTTACAGGGGTGCCTGGGTGGCTCAGTCGGTTAAGAATCCAACTCTTGATTTCAGGTCACAATCTTGCTGTTCATGTCTTTGAGCCCTACATCAGGCTCCACCATGTCAATGCGTAGCCTGCTTGGGATTCTCTCTCTGTCTCTCTGTCTCTCTCTCTCTCTCTCAAAATAAATAAATAAACTTAAAAAAAAAATACAGACTTACAAGTAAAAAAAAAAACATCGAAGGGAGCCTGGGCGGCTCCGTCGGTTAAGCATCCCACTTCATCTCAGCTTATGATCTCGCGGTTTGTGAGTTGGAACCCCGCATAAGGCTCTGTGAAGACAGGGCAGAGCCTGGAGCCTGCTTCCGATTCTGTCTCTCCCTCTCTCTGCCCCTCCCCCGCTCACACTCTGTCTCTGTCTCTGCCTCTCTCTCTCTCTCTCAAAAATAAATAAACATTAAAAAATTTTTATTAAAAAAAACTGGACCTGAATATATAACATGGATTATGTCTACTATATAAAGTGCATCTTTAGTAAGTTCAATAGCACCCTACTAGTCTTTAGAATTAATGCAATTTACAATTTACTAAATTATTCCCTAAGCAATTTATACAGTAGGAGTATACGACCTATTAAAGTCAAAAAACAGTTTATGTAAAGACGATAATTCATCTTGTCCAAGAGGTGATTTCAAGTTAAATATTGTGAATTCAATCATTTTCTCATCTAAGAATTATTTGTATTTAAAAAATACAGTGAAAACGTTTTTAAAATGGTATCATGAGTTTTGAAATTTGTGTAAAATGTAAAGCATATCTTAAATTAACCTTTAAATTCTGATTTTTCTGCTAAAATTTCTTAGATTCTAATTATTGTGTATGGAATTTTATAAAGGAGAGAGTTACAAGGATCCTTGAAATGACTCCTGTAGCCCAGGATAAAGCCATAAAAAGTGAGGCAGGACCTGGGAAAAACTCTTTTTATTTCATAGTTTATATACTAAAGATTACCTGATTTTTCAGACTTTGATTTACTCATTTCAGATGCTTAGGGGAGACCTACTTTTCATGGATGGTTTCATGTATAAGACAGAGATGAATCAATAAATTTCAGTGCAAATTTGAGATGATTTCAGCAAAAACAAAATGGTACCTCCTGGAAGATGTGGATCATTCTTGGCTGAATCACGGTATAGAAGGTGAAACAAGAAATGAGGACAAGAGCAATGTGAAGAAACCTGTAGACAACTGACCAAGAGTTTCAGATATCCAAGACTGCAACCCCTCAGTCTGACTGAATTTTACTTTGTTTTGCTTATACCAGGTGCACAGGGCAATTAATTGCACGTTGTCCTACCTTAATTGCTTTGAATGTTGACACCTGCTTCTATCCCCTTTGCTCGTGTATTTATTGTTAATTTAGCAAATATGTATTAATGTCTATGTGCTAATTATAGCTATTGCTCCCAAAATCACTTTAAAATAATCCCTCTTTAGTCAAAGTAGACTAAAGTCTTTCTTCCACTTACTCTACATTCTTTCTCTATCTAATAATGTTTGGCCATTAACCTTCAGCTTCAATGCTGTCAGGCTGATCTTCAGTAAATCAAATTCCTGAGGGAGGAGAGAAAAGAAGGAGCTCTTGACTCATTTCTAACATAAAGTACAGTAGGTCACCAAAAATCTGGTGCTTCACTAGAAATCTTGACTTAGAATTTTCTCATCATTTTCTCCTCAGAAGTTCCACTCTATCTGTCCAATGTATCTAAGATATTTAAAAATGAACAAATCCACATAAATGTTCATCATTTGAGGATTTTTTTCTTGTTTGTTTTGAAAGGGAATACTTAGTTTCTCAAATGAATGCTTAACTGGTAGAGTTTCAGAGAGTCTTGCAAAATAAAATGAGAATTTCAAGCAACATGGAAGTAATTTCTTTTTTGTATTTTTGAAGGGGTTGAGGAGACTTGGAGGTCTGTTCCCCTTACACTGTATGACAGAATAATTACTTCTTTTTCTATAAGGCTAGGACTGATCTCCCTGAACCTGGGCAAATAACTATTTCAACTTTGCTAAGCCCAGAAATAGTTTAAGTATTATATTATGTGTAACCTGAAAACAAACATTCAGAGAATCTTACTTTAAAAACCTAAAAAGATAGTAGAGTAAATTGTGGGTGGATAGAGTTAGATTTGTGGATGTTAAGTAAATAGGAAAGCAAAAAGCTGAAAAACATATCTATATCTGAGTTCCTGACACTAAAAAGTTCTAATAGTCCAAACAAAATGTACAATACATTTTAGTTACAGTTCTTTGAGTAATTTGGCTTGAGATTCTTGAAATAATTAACAAAGTGGGATAAAAGTTGACTTGTATATAAACAATTTAACTAGGATATAAAATTTAATAGTTTTTAACACTACTCGAAAAGAATGTTTTACCTTCAGAAGTCTTAATAATAAAGAATAAATCTAAAAGTAGAAGATAAAAAATATATCCCAATGTCATAAAGCAACTGCAGAAAATCTATTAGATATATCTAGTTCTTCAATTTATGTGAAGGCTATATTACAAAGGCTATTTACAAATGTCTCAGTTTAACTATGACATTTATATTTTTCAAGGATGTTTCCAAAAATAGAATCTACTGAACTTGAACACACTGAAATAATAAAAATGAAAGCAAATGCTGAACACAAACAATAGAAATAAGAACACAACTTTTAAAAATAGGAAAAATACCCCGTTTCAGGTAAATACACAAGTTCTGCTTTGGGTGAACCCTACTTCTCTCTCTCTCTCTCTCTCTCTCTCTCTCTCTGTCTGCCTCTCCTGGGATTCTCTCTCTCCCTCTCTCTCTCTTTTTCAATCTGTCCCTTGCTCACTTGCGGCTCCTTCCCTTTTTCTCTCTTTTAAAAAAAAAGGAAAAACAGATAAATATAATTTGTTAAGATATGTTAAAGCTGGGGTTTGTATACATTACATTTCTCCATACTTAAGCTCACATACATAGAAAGAGTAATAATTTTTCAAATCAATGAAATAGAAACGATAGTACTCTAGAGAAGCTCAACAAAGTTGAAGTTAGATCTTTGAAGAAACAAGCCTATCAAAACAGACAAATCTCTGCCAAAATTCATCAAAAATACAGAGAAGACATAAGCAATGTAATAAAAGAGATAAAGAAGAGACTAAAAAGATAAGAGAATAAAATCAATATCTACATGGCAATGATTTTGAAAGCAAAATTTACAAATTCCTAAGAAATACGTTTCATCAGAATTGACTCAGCTAGAAATGAAGATCTTGAATAATCTTAAATACTTAATTGATACATATTCCCTCTTCATGTGAATGATAAAAAATGTTGAAGAGTTCAAATACTCTATTCTCTGAAACACTGCCAGAGCCTCACCTTCAGGTTAAGAGAACACTATTAATTAGCAATGTAACAGATGTCTGTCATGATTATTAGCAATAATCTTAGATTGACATGATTTATTCTTGTAAGTTTTTAGTAAGAACTGCTTCCTTTTCCAGAGGTCATAATTAATGATTAATCCTATACCACTAATGTGTTAATCAGTAGTTAAAAATCTCTTTTTCTCCTTCTCACTAACCCTGCCTTAGCTTATAGGTTCATGATTTCTTTTATCAAAAATTATAAAACCTTCTAAATGTTTTTTTGATAACCAGAATTAATCTACTAACCAACTTTAAAACGCTTTTAGAAATTTATCTCAAATTAATGGTCTAAGTTTAATCAAGATATATGACCATTTTTAGCCTCCAGTGATGATATGTACTCTGACTCTCAGATCTGCTTCTTTTTAAAAAAGTAAATATATAAATATATATAAACATATTAAAACAATATAAATATGCATATTTTTATAGAAACATAAAATTATGTTATAGAAACATAAAAATATGCATATACAAAGCAATATAAATATGTGTCTGTGAGGTTATAGACATTTTCAAAATCTCCAAAGAAATCCAACCTTGTTAATTCTTAGCAAAATCTATAAAATTCAAGAGGCTTTTTTATAGCAAAATGTCAAGTATAGTCATTTATTATTTCTCTGTCACCAAACAAAGCAAGAGATCTATTAATGCCTAACACAAATGGGTCGTGTTTATTTATACAAAAATATTATGATATAATTATTTGAAAAATAAGAATATTTATAAATCTAATAATTATGAACAAATTTTGAACTAATAAATTCTCTCAGATCAACTAATGTAAAACTATAGTATTAGATGTTTTAGTAATTTGGAACTTAAGAATCAATAAACCCTTAGAAAGGAGAATCTTTGAGTTATAAGGTAAATCTGAAGAAAACATAAATATAAATATATGTTTTATATTATCATATTATATAAATATAATATAAATATTACATTGTTTTTATATTATTTTATATATAACTTCATTTGGAGATGAAAAAGAAAACACATTCAATGTAAACATTCTTTTTGATAATTGGTTAGAATGTCATCTTTTAATACATATCACAATAAACACTATGGTCTATTAAATCCAAATTGAAGTTTCAATGACCAAATTTTGTTTTAAAATAATGAAGTTTCTCTGTGACCAAATTATGGAACACCCTTAAATATCTTTATCAGACAGTTAAAGTCAAATTTAATAATGCAACTATGATACTTCATCATAGAAGAATGAAAAAATTATTTTTTCAGAAATGTATTTGAAGAAATAATCCCCTGAGAAGAACAACACAGAAAAAAGAGTAAGGGCACAAACCCCAAAATAACACACAGACATACACATACTCAAGTAATGCATAATGAAATTGACTTAAAATATTCCTCTAAGCTGAGACCTGAAAATGATCTCAATTCTCTATGCAGAATGATTAAAGAAAAAAGGCAAAAATTCAAATGATAAAATACATTCACACACATTTTAAGCTACTTTATTTGGTTGTTGTATAAGAAAGGGAATTTTTAAAATAACATATATTTATGATCAACAAGCTAACATTTTTACCATATTTAGGGGATGCTAAAATAGTCAATTTAATGAAAAGAAAAACACTGCCAACACAAAAAAAGTTTAAAATAATACTTTTAGAGTTTAGAGATTTTCAGAAATTTAAGCTTCCCAACAGCTGTGACATAATGATATGCTATATATCAAATGAAATTAATACAAGATGAGATGACTTTCATCACAGCAGGCAGACTAAAGTTTAAAAAAAAACTGAATATGAATCAAGGTATTAGGCATTTAAAGGGCAACTCAGGTATGCAGCAACACAGAAATATTTATCTTGAACTGAGATTTTAATATACTACATAATCAAAGGTATTTTTAAGAAATAATATAATTTTAAAGTAACTGCTGAATTTGAAAAATATGCTTCCTTTCTTTTCCTAAAAAGTCCATTTGACTAGATATAAAGCAATTCTTTAGTCTATTTATATTGATTGCTATATTTATGTAAAGGATACAGTGAGAGAAATTCTGTAGTTGCCACATCATATAGAAATCTTACTTTAAATCATTCTCTTATGAATGCTAATAACTTCCTATTCTGATGTAAACATCTGCTTATAATTCTTCACTGTCTATGATACGTGCTTGGATTTTCTCAAATTTAAATAACTCATATCAAATGCAAAATCCATTTTTAGTTATGTATGCCACCATTTTAAGTAAAATTATAGTATTACTTAAACTAGAAAATGTGTATTTCTCATAATAGAAATATATACAAGACTCTAAGAAGTAAATTTATTCATTGTTTATTTCTTTCTCAGATTATCCCCTATTCTTGTCTTTGTTGAAGCTGCATAAAAATACAGCTGGAGCTGCATATTTTTGTGTGTTTATGAGATAACTTCAGTTATTTTTATTTATAGAAAGAATATATTTAAAACCTTACACACAAAAATATATATTCAGTATGGGATACTGAAGTATGGGATACACAGCTTGCTTTTGTAGTTGGTCCCAAAGGTTTTTCTTAAAGATATACATTTTTAAAAGTAAAGATTTGTTACAAAAATATTTAAGTAGCCTTATAAATGTACTGATATGTATCCATGGACTCTTAAATTAAAAAATTTTTAAATCCCATTTCATCAAACTACATGATCATCTCAATAAATGTAGAGAAAGCATCTTACAAAAATCCAACACATTTTCATAATAAAAAAGAACAGCCAACAAATTAGAAATAGAAGGTCATTTCCTCAACTTGAT